TCTCTCTCTCTCTCTCTCTCTCTCTCTCTCTCTCTCTCTCTCACAGTTTCTAATTATGTCTGCGTCTCCCACGATGCTTCCTTACCCTCCCTTACCCTGTTACCTTTAGGGGAACAACGGAAGTCTACCTTTTTTTCTGACATGTCCTTGATGGCTTTACATTGATGACATTCATCCAGCACAGACTTAACCCAGGTTGTTTTCTTCTCATGGTGGCGGGGTGGCACCCAGGTCCTCATGCCTCCGAGGCCAGAGCTCTGCCGCTGAGCGCCCCCCTCAGCCCACGATCGGCCACTTCCAAGTGAACCTTGAGGGGCATTACTGGCCTCCCGGGGTGGCGCCACCACCAAGCCCCTCCAAGCCCAGAGTGCACCGTCTCTGCCACAGAGCCCTGAGTCCCCAGCCCTGGCCTCTGGCCCTCTCCTGCTGTCCCCCTGGGTTCCTCCCAGGGGCCTTTCCTGTGAACGTGGCCGCCCTCTGTCGCCCTCTGGTGCCCGGCTTCTCCATGCAGCTCGTGTCCAGGGCCCCGTGCTGTACCCTCTGTGGAGCTGCTTCCCCCTCCATGTGTGGTCCTGACTGGGTCGCCTCCTCTGTGGGCCACGGTACTGTGTGATGCGCCACAGTTTTCTTCTCCCTTCTGCTCTCCGTGGCACCCGCCCTGGTTCTTCTCATCGCCCCAGTGAACATTCCCTGGCCCTCACCCCATTCCCAGTGGGATGCTTCTCACACTCTGCCGAGCACCGACTTCGAAGGCTCCTGCACATCAGAGATCCTGACTCAGGACGCGGGACAGGGGCTGGGTCCTCATTCCTAATCCGCTCACGGGGACCCGTCGGGGGCAGCTGGAGGATGCAGGAGCTGATGGAGCTAACAGAGCTCTGGGTTCACACCCAGAACTGGAACGGCCGGGTCCCTGGAGGCAAATCCCTCAGGCCACTGGACAGGACCAGGACAGAGTCCTCTGGGAGGCCCCGGGGACACTGAGTCTCCAGTCACCTCTGACGGGAAGCGGTGCTGCCTAGGGAGGCCCCTGAGCTCGGCTCAGCCGGGTCCTGTGTGGATGTCAGCACAGCCCGCTCACCCCGAGGAACTGGGGACAGGGGGAGCAGTGGCATCGGGTCCTCAGGAGCCTTGGAACAGGCGATGGCTGGATTTGGGATTGAGAGCTAAATGAGGTCCGTGGTGCTGCGTGGTCCAGCGGGAGAGAGACATGGACAGAGAGAGAAATGGATCAGAGGCGTCAGGGGACGGCACGGCCCGATGGAGGCAGAGAATGTGGCGGATTCACACCGTGGACAGTAATTCAGCCAGGAAGCCGAACCCATTCGGTCTGCAGCTGCACACAGGTGACCCCTGCTGCTGAGCAAGACAAGGCAGATGGCAGGTTCACACCGGGCCTGCGGAACGTCCACACGGACACCGAGGGCTGGTGTTGCCTGGGGTGGGAGGGAGGACTGGGGAGACCGCTCGGGGTCCCGGCTTCTCTCTGGGGTGGCTCAGATCTTCTAAGATTGCGGTGGTCGGTGCACAGCTCTGAGAATGGCACAAGCCACCCAATTGCACACTGGAAGCCGTGTGTGCATGGAGTGACCCGTGTGTGAAGTATACAGAGGCACAGACAGGGCGTTCTGAACAGAGCCCGTTTGCGTAAGAAACGGTTCCAACAACCAACAAATGGGATCATCGTGAAATAAAGAGCTTCTGTACAGCAAATAAACGACCAACAGACTCAAAAAACTATTGACACATGCGAAAAATTTTGCAGAAACAGAGGATTGATATCCAGAGTATGTAAAGAACTAAAAAAATTTAGAGCCTGCAAAAAAAAAAAAAATCAAAAAATGGTCAAATGACAGCAGATACTTCACAGAGGAGAAGAAGTACAAATGGCCCCAAATCATGCATAAATCCTCAATGTGAGGACAATGGGAGAAATGCTTATCCAAGAAACACTGAGATTCCATCTTCCTCCAGAAGGAGTGGACACCGTTCAGATATCAAATAAGAACGAAGGCTGGAGAGGCTGGGGTGAAAAGAGACCCTTCTACAAGACTGACGAGGATGTACCCAATCCAACCACTATCTGGCAGGGCTGCTTTGAAGTGACTGGTGGAGGTTACTTTCCTCTCAAGCAGAAATGCAGAGAAAAGAAGTGAGCTTCAGTGCCTTAGATTCTGGCTCAGTTCGGTTTCTGTCTGGTCCTCTCTCCCTGCCCTCTCTGCCTGTGTTTTCCCCCCGTCTCTGTCTCTCCAGCCCCGGACGCCCAGGGCAATGGCTCCCGTGTGGAGGCCCAGAAAGGCCAGCTCCTGCGGCTCCTCTGCGCTGCTGACAGCCGGCCCCCTGCCACGCTGACCTGGGACCTGGAGGGCAGAGTCCTTGCTCAGGCCCAAACCTCAGGAAGCAAACCTCTGAGGCTGGATCTACCCGGGGTGAAGCCTGAGGACGCGGGGCGCTACAGCTGCCGGGCAGAGAACAGGCTGGGCTCCCAGCACAGCTCCCTGGAGCTCTCCGTGCAGTGTGAGTGACCAGGATGCCTGTTCTGGGAGGGCAGGGTGGGGACAGGGGACGGGCAGGTCCCAGAGCAGTGAGGGGCTGGAACCCCAGGCCTGCAGGACCAGGCTTCTCATCTGCCTCATGGGAGGGCAGTGTGTGGGGACCCAGGGGCTGGCTGTCCCCTCCCACCACCTCCCTCTCTGCCCAGAGGGCAGCCCCAGCCCTCCAGAGCCGCTCCCATCTCCACTGCAGATCCCCCGGAGGACCCGAGAGTGACAGTTTCCCAAGCAAACAGGACAGGTAGGACGGGGACAGAGGGACCAGGGCCTCCCCATGGCCCCTTGGGGGCCCAGGAGGTGGAGCCACACATGGATTCTGCCTCTGCCCTCCCTAGTCCTGGAAATCCTCGGGAACGGCACATCCCTGCCCATGATGGAGGGCCAGAGCCTGCGCCTGGTGTGTGCCACCCACAGCAGCCCCCCAGCCAGGCTGAGCTGGGCCCGGGGGACACAGCCCCTGAGCCCCTCCTGGTCCTCGGCCCCTGGGGTCCTGGAGCTGCCCCGGGTGCAGATGGAGCATGAAGGGGAAGTCACCTGCCACGCGGAGAACCCGCTGGGCACCCGGAGTGTCTCTCTCAGCCTCTCTGTGCACTGTGAGTCAGGAGGGAAGCCAGGGACTGCGAAAAGGGACCCTGTGACCTCCTCTCCCTCCCACAGATGCCCCCCAGCTGCTGGGCCCCTGGTGCTCCTTGGAGGCTGAGGGTCTGGGCTGCAGCTGCTCCTCCCGGGCCCGGCCTGCCCCGTCCCTGCACTGGCGGCTCGGGGAGGAGCTGCTGGAGGGGAACAGCAGCAACGCCTCCTTCACAGTCTCCTCCAGCTGGGCCGGGCCCTGGGCTAACAGCTCCCTGAGCCTCCATGGGAGACTGAGCTCAAGTCTCAGGCTCAGCTGTGAGGCAGGGAATGAGCACGGGGCCCAGAGCACCACGGTCCTGCTGCTGCCAGGTGAGGGCCCTGGAGTTTGCAAGTGGTGGAGGCTTTGGAAGGAGGGTGGTGGTTATGAGGAAGGTTAAAGCCAGGGAGTGGGTCAGGGGCTGGGCAACGGCTGGCCCGGACAGACAGCGTGTCTGGGTCCCTGTTCTTTGCTGTTGGAGGATGGAGGACATGTGGAAGGGAGCAGTAAGGGTTGGGGAGCAGCCAGGTCTGGCCCTCACCCTGCTGTCTGCAGAGAAGCCAGTGTCCTGGGGCAGATTCCTGACGGGCGTCTCAGTGGGAGCACGGGG